CAAAAGAGTTTATGATATTACGATTTCAGCATTATATAGTATTGTGAATATGGATCCACAGAACTTGTCCTTGACATAATTCAACTTGTTCATTCCATAACTGGGACTGTCTTATATATTCCTCCATAACCGGATGCTTATAATTACATTCATTTGACACATGCCCATTTTGACCGCAATTGTCACAAATAAAAGATGTTGATTTACTTATATTTAAGTTATCAATTTTATAAGAAAAAGCAGAAATCTGTGCTTGCATCATAGTTAAGGGATCTAATTCATGCACTTTCTTTGCTGAATTTTTTGAAGAAGAAGAAGACTCATTACTAACAGTAGAATGATTTACCTGTGTCCTTTCGGTTGGCCATATGCTATTATTGTTGGCCATTTCTTCTAGTAACTCAATTGCATCATCAGTAGTCTTCTTCATTAATGATCCTCCTGCTTCTTCTTGCATATAATGATCCCCTCTTGGCGCTAGCGACACATGTTCCCGGGCCCTCTGTATGTAGGTGTCACCGCCAGCATGGTAGAAGGTTTGAATCAAATATATTGTTGGGAAGGCCATGGTGTGGGTGCAAACTCGTTTGGAGTTTCTTTGTAGCGATGCCCATGCTCATATAAGGATTGCATTTTCATGTTGGGTAAAATGAGAGGTTATTGTCTTTGATAAGCCTAGCGGTTTTGGGCTAGTGGCCGGAAGTAGTTTAGACAGGAAGGGGCTTAAGGGAGCTAAGACAGGAAGGCTTGGGCTAATTCTTCCCATGTAGTGATAGAGTTTGGTGGTAATGAATTTAACCAAGCTTTTGCCTTGTCTTTCAATGTGAAAGGAAATAGACGTAGCTTGATAGCATCTGCTGGTACTGAATTCACCTTGAATGTATCACAGATCTCGAGAAAACTGGCTATATGCGAATTAGGATCCTCATTTGGCAATCCGTAGAACTAAACACTATTTTGAAGCATTTGTAATAAAGCAGGTTTAATCTCAAACTGGTTAGCATTCACCGGTGGACGTACTACTCCCTTTTGTGAACCATTTAAACAACAAGTCATCAACCTCTGTGGCGGATTTCCATCACCCATGATTCTTGAATTTTCTTCTTTTTCTTCTTCTTTTTTCGTTTGTGAAAGGAATTGTTCAATCTCAGGCTGTAATCCTCCAATTCACTATTTGAAGATCTGGTACTTGAGGCCATATGGTTATGTAACCATGTTTCCTGCAAAATTTTGAATCAACTAATAAGTATGTATCTTAATTAAAACAAGGCTGTAAATTCATATATAAGGAATATTTCGGTTAATGACAAACCCACCGTCCCCGGCAACGGCGCCAAAAAACTTGTTGCGTCTCTTTTGAGTTCCCGCAAGTATACGGATCACAACGTTAGTAATAAAATATCGATCCCACGAGGAACGGGTTGAGTACACTTGCTACTTTATTCTTTACTGATAGTTTTAAGAATACAAAATATTAAAATAGTTCTAAGGAATTCTTATTTATTCTAGATCTAATGATTATTTTCAACTTCAGAGAATAATAGGCATTTAAATACTTAGAAAATTTAATCATAAAGACAAATGTGTTTAGTAAAATACTTTAAGACTAATTTAATTGTACACAGGATTTTCCCTTTTCTATGCAAAAGCTTGTTAATATTTATAAAGAATCTCTTAATTACATATGGTATAATATAAGTCAACTTCTCAGTATAGAATTATACTATCTTATTATATATATTTCTATATAATAATAGAATCCCTATTGTTAAATATGTAAACTAAATCCTTGATTCTTGATTATTTCAATAAGCACAGATTAATTTCAACAGGAATAAGTAACATATGCATATGTAAAATCCAACTTTCAATTGAATTAAATCTTCTTTTTGATCTTTTTACTTAAACTATTTTCCTTCTGGAATATAATTCAGTAAACTTTGATTAACAAAGATCAAAAGATAACTTAAGGAATTTTTATTGAATACTTACCAATTTAAAATTGTTTTGTCTTGTATAGAAGAATTATGAAGACCCAACATACAAAACAAGGTCTAAATAAACAGAGAAAGATAGAAGTAATCAAACTCAAGCCTCTTGGAGGCGTCACACCTCGAGGAACTTATGGTGTTCTTGGCACAATCCAAATAACAAATGGACTTTCGTCAATCTTGCTCTTAGTACTACTACACACTTCTCTTAATACAATCTAATATTTTGTCAATCTAACTCTGAAAATTATGAATCATATTCTGGTATATCTGTCTCTCCACTTTTGATTTGCCTTATTTATAGAGGAGGAGAGCGATGACTTTCGTCAATCTTGCTCTAAGTACTACTAACACACTTCTCCTAATACAATCTAAGTGTTTTGTGAATCTAACTCTGAATAAGAATCAATTCTATATCTTTTTTGCTTCACTTTGATTGCTATTTATAGAGGAGGAGAGTGATGGTAGTTTTGGTAGTGATTGGTTAGCCAAAAGGTGCTTGAGGTGACTTCTCTTGGGAAGAGTCCCGACCCTTGCATGGAAAGATATGATTTTCTGATGAAAATGTAGCAATTACGTCTCTTGGAAATCTCGACTCACGCTCGCGCTTGTAAAGGTCGCGCTCGCGACTTCTGCGCCAAGTGCTTCTGCCTCTCAAAAGTTCTTTTCGCGCTCGCGCATATGGAAGTCGCGCTCGCGCTTGTCGCTGGCAAACCTTCTGCCTTAACAACGTGCTTTCTCGCGCCCGTGCAGATGGAAGGTGCGCTCGTGACTTTTGCTCCAATTGCTTCTGACTCTCAGATCTGCTTGTCGTGCCCGCGTATGTGAATGTCGCGCTCGCGACTTGCTTTTTTTGGGTGTAGGTTGCACGCGCGTCCTCTGGTAGCGCTCGCGACTTGGGCTTTTTTCTTTGTTGCGACTTGCTTCGTGGCGCGAGGGCTGGATCAAGGAATTCTTCCATTTTTTCAACTTGTTTTGGCCCTATTTTTGTATAGCACAATTCTTTACTCCAACTGTGTTCCTAAAAATTACTTTGAAACAAAACAACACGAACAAACGTAAAATGTACAAAAACAATCATGCATTCATGCAATTTATATCAAAATAACATAACAAGATTTGCTGCGAGGCTATCAATAATCATGCTTAGAAATCACCCAAGAACACATTTATACAATCAAAGTTCAACAATCAAATCATTTCATACCAAATTCCCAAATTTTCACAAAGTAGCATAAACTCACAAAATCAAAAATCAAACAAGTTAAGTGTGTTTATGAACACTAACCTTAAAAACACACTTGGATTAAAGTTTCCTAAGCCTTAGTTTTGCCTTACACCTTGGTAGAAGGTTTCTCGGTTCTCCACCTTTCGCTCAAGCAGAGGGATATAGAGAATATCCAAATTTCTTGAAATAATTCACCAAAAATCACTTCTCAAGCTTTAATCTCTAGGATTAATTACTTAAATCAAGTTGGATAGAAAAGATTTGGCGGATTTAGTGAGTAGGAAGTGAAGAAAAACAAAGAGAAGGAGAAGAGGAAGTTGACGTTGAAATGAAGAAGAAGAAGAAGCAGAAGAAGAAGAAGAAATGTTGCTCAATAATTGGAGTTGACCTTTATAAAGTGATCAAAGGGTATTTAGGTCTTTTCCTACAATTGGATGGCTAAGATTAAGTAAAAAGTAATCTCATCTAATGGCTAAAAATATTCTCCAATTAAATTCCTTCAAAATATTATTTTTCTCCACAAAATTCTCAAATTTACTCTATAAAAATAAAATAATTCCTCAAATTTCCTTAATTAATATAACACCATAATTCACTATTCACTAATTATCTAAATTCTCCAAAAATATTTATTACTTACTTTTTACCCATAAAAATCATGTATGCATACTCCAAAAATATTAAATAAAATAGAAAACATAGATAGTAATTTTTCCGGACCAAAATAATACCGACTCCTGGACTGGCAGTACTATTCACAAACTGGTGGTACTATTCATAGACCGGTAAATTACTATCTATCCATAGTTAATTATACTCAATATCTTCCTTGGGTCTAAATAAATTATTATCTCCCTCTCTGCAGCACCATTCATGACCCAATAGATAATACTATTTTAAGATTCGAAAATTTTGGGGCGTTACATCCTCCTCTGTAAGGTATCAAGTCATACTTCTTTTCTTTCAAAATACCATTCATGACCCGATAAAATAATACTATTTTAATATTCGAAAATTTTAGGGCGTTACACGAATACAATCCATTTAATTAAATTTGATTGAATTTTTTGACTCATTTATGACCCATTTAATTAAATAGGTTACACTTGTCGTATTCGTTTCACTTATTTAATTTTCATATGATATTCATATTTAAATATTTGACACAGTTATTTAATGAATCATTTTCGTATTGATCCAAAAACCACCCTATTCGTCACGAAAACCACCCTATTCATTTTCACATATTAGGCAGGTTCGTGTCCAACCCAACACGCGAACCATTTTGATGCCCTATCAAGTTAAAGCGTTAATAGCAATTGAAGGACCAAAGATCAAGTATTGAGAAATAAACAATGAATAATGGCAACAAATATTTAGATATTTTTCGTACCATTAGTGTTTGTAGTATATTGGAACAACATAATATTTTTATGTTTGTTTCATATTATTTTTGTTTGTATATTTAACTTTTTATGTTTTTATTTCATTTTTTTTTAATTTAATCTTCAAATGTAGTTTATTTAAAAACTTTAGTTGTTAAATGTGAGGTATTTTTCTTCCCTTTCAAACTGTCTAAAATTGAACCAAACTAAACTAAACCAAACCGCATTCGTAAGTTTGGTTCGATTGTATACATTTCATGGCTTTGATTCAGTTTGACTTTTTTATAAACCACCATTTTAATTTTGATTGGAATGAAGTTCGAAACCGAACCATGAACAACCGCTACTTAATAGATCACTACATTGCAACCTGAAATTTTGGCTTTCTACACAGCAATTATAAGACTCAAATATTGGTTGACTTTATGTATCAAAAGAACATATATTCTAAGTCACAATAAACATGCTTATTGACATGTATCAACATGTTAATAAAAAACATAACCATCACGGAGAATATACAGAACTAATCATCTGCAACATAAGATACATTGATACCTGAAATCATGCATCAAGTCTGACTACTCCAATTCCCATAAGACTTGTTCATCAATCTTGCTCAGCTTCTCATCATCAAGACGCTTCCAGGTTCTAATGCTCTCCACTCCCATCCATGACTTCTCCCCCTTCCGAAGCTCTGCTAATATGACCCTTGCTCTCCGTGGCCACCCAGCTCTCCCATAACCATGATATCCAAAGCCTCCACCATAACAAAACCATATTCCATCTAATTTCCCACAAAAGTCATTGGTGTGATCATGACCCAAAAACACAGCCTTCACATCTCCCATAGATACAAAGGTCTGTAAGACTCCAGAATTCACAAATGAACACGCCACAGCTTCTTGAAATTGACCTACAATCTTTTGATAGTACAGCTGTGGAATTTCTGGGATTGGGATATGAAAAAAAGCCAGTGCCAAAGGCAAAGCCAAGATTGAAGCCTCATTCAAATGATTAAGATCCTGCTTTTGGCCCTGTTAGTTTGTGACCTGCAAAATGTTAATGAAATCTAAATCTAGGAGACCTCCCCTGTGGGATTTGAAGAACACTGAAGGTACAAAGAAACGCGTGTGTGAATAATGGAATACAAATATATACTTTAAATATTGTTTCAAATGGAATTAAATGCATAAATTCACCCCTGTAGTTTCGCAAAAAATCTTGTAGCACTTTCAACTTTTACTTTGACGCAATGACACTTCAACTTATAAAATTGTACATGTTGAACACTTGAATTTGCAAAATGACTTTATTGCATGCACCAACTTATAAAATTTTAGATAGTTGAAAATTGTAAATTTTATCATTCCAAAAGTTATACTAACCACAAATCAAATTAATATTTTTCATATAAAAGCTAAAACCTTTAAAAACTATTGTTATTAATTTGGAGAACAGTGCAATATTACTAAAATTTGTAACTTTAGGAGCATAATAGGTTTCCTCAAAGTTTGAAATACCATAAGATTTTTCGTGAAAACTAGGATTAATTTATGTATTTCACTAGAATTTGATGAATAACTTATGCACTACAAAAACACATCTCATGTTATTTATATTATGACTAGTCATATTTCATTAAGCAAGCCAAACTGAAACAAAAAACACTGTTCCTGTGAACAGTGACAAGTTTATCCTTAATTTTTTGGCTCCCATTTGCATGAGTTTTCACCTTGACTTTCCTGTTGACAAATTTACCCTTGGTTTTCTGAACAGTGTTTTGTCAAGTTTACGCTTTATGTTTTGGCTTCCATTTGTATGAGTTTTCACCATGACTTTCACGTTGAAAAATTTACCCTCGGTTTACTAGCTTCTGTTTTTACAAGTTTACCCTTGCATGCCACAAGTACTGTACAGGAAAAGTGTTTTGACAAGTTTACTCTTTATTTTTTGGCCTCCAATTTGTATGGGTTTTCAACTTGGCTCTCATTTTGACAAATTTTCCCTTATTTTATTAGCTTCCATTTTTACAAGTTCACCCTTAGATTATTGTAGTACAAGAAGCATAAGTCAGATTGTTATAGTACTTAGAATCACATTCACAAGACCACCTAAATGTACAAGCAATTGGAGGTTAGGGGCTATGCAACTTGAAACAATTATAGTACTTTTGGCAATGCATTTTAATACATGTATAATTTTATTCAATTTTGAAAATACTTAGTTTAATGAAAATTCTAATACCAATCTTTTTAATGATTTAAAGAAGATAATAAACTGTAATCAATTTCCTAAACAAATTTTCTCTACTAAATAAGATATTACTCAAAGCATATTAATTTTATACTTATTATACTCTACTAAAATAAATTCATTTATTTATTTTTAGTTATTTTAAAGCCCAGTCAAAGTAAATTAAAACAAAATAAAACTTAGATTTACTAAGATTTTTAATACTGATGAACAAAAGAAGGGAACAAGGTACCTAAATTACTCATATCATGAAAAATAATTAGCATTGAAAAAAAATTTCCTATTCTGTATTCAACTTTGAAGTTATATTTATTAAAATGTTTCTTTTTAATTTATATTATTTTTCCACTATTGATTCGAACTACTTTTTAATTCGTTCGGGCACAATTTAGAAAATAAATTTTAATTTTTATTATTCATCATTTTATTGAAAAACCAACATTCTAAATAAATCAAAAGGAGAACAATGATAAGAGCAATTTCTTTTTCTTTTTAATCACAGGTTTCTCTTCTTGAAATTACAATTCTTTTTTTACTTAATTTTATAGTATTCAAAAATTAATTACATGTAAAAAAAAGAAAATAAAAAAATATACCTAAACTCCTATTTATTAATAAAAATAATATCGTGAAAAATTCATAAGGAGAATAATAATAAAATATACCTAAACTACTTTAGTACTTCTTTATAATGAAATAATCAACTTTTTGATTGATTAAAACTTAGCAAAAATCATGTCTTTTATTATAATATTTTAACAGATTAAACACAAAATATTAATATATTTCAATTAATTTTGCTCCCTTCAATTACTACTAATTAATAATCATTAGAAATTTTTTTAAAAAAATAATAAAAAAATTTGTAAACCCGCAGCAACAAGCGTGCAATTTCACTTGTGTTATCTATAATATGACTAGTCATAGTTCATTAAGCAAGCGATAAATAAAAATAAGCATGATATGGTTCATCAAAAATTAATTTGTATTTGCAGTTATACTTGTAAGTTTTTGATTGTGTAATAAAATCCTAAATGTTCATTCAAATTCAATTGTTCGATCAAGTGAGCATGACCAACTAGCAATTACATTCTAGCAGACATAAAAGAAGACAGATGTGAGAAAGAAGTTGCCTTCTCCAAAAGACTAACACTAAAATTTCTTCAGAAACATAGTTTTTCCCCATTTTGTTATGATTTAACTAACAATAATAGTTATTCAATATGCATTAGATCACATGCATGAGGATAAAAAAACAAAGACAAAAGTGTCAGCAATAGTTAAATATAAAAAGGAACAGCTTAGTACCATCAATGTTTTCAGTTTGCCATACCTGATATCCCCTAGAAATGCCACGAAGCCAATGAAGTTGAGATTCCTTAATCCATCCATAAGTTCGTCTTCCTTGAACAATCTCTCTGGCTCCACTGTCAAGAAAGAAAAGATTAAGGAGACTGTGATTTGCCAAAAGGGAACCTGGCGCTCCATAAACTCTGAGATTATAATTTCCGAATCCATCAATGTTTGTTATCATGCTTCCTTTGCCAGTATCAGAGGAATCCTCAATTGATGGATTGGCTTGTGAGACTGAATAATCCATTAAGGAGATGAATGACATCAACTCTTCTCGAGTCATTGTAGATTCATGGTCATGGTTTCCTAAGATTGCTGCCCATGGAAGTCTAGATTCAATGGCAGGACCAAAGGCACGAAACAGGGATTCTGCAGCATCGGTAGTGCTTGTCCCAAATATGTTATCCCCTAGTTTTACAAAATTAATGCAAATTAGTCATTTGGACATGTTAGATGGAGAGAGAGAGAGAGAGGGGGGGGGGGGGCTGCAGCATCTTAAGTCTTGATTCCCAAAATATGCTTTATCCCCTCGCTCTTACAAAATTATGCAAATTATCTAATGGTTGGACATGCTTAGTGAGAGAGAGAGGAGAGAGGGGGGGGGGATCTCTCCATTTTATTTGATACTTGGCCCAGGGGGGGGGGGGGGATCTCTACCATTTTATTGATATCTGGCCCCAATTCCAATAAATGAAAGACACTAAGTTCCATTAATCAAGCATATTCATGAATCCAGATAAAATCTAAAAACTAGAAGGAAACCCCTTTTTAATTTAAGCATTTCAAATATATGGTTGTGCCAATTTATAAATTCTAATAACTTCTAACAAAATCAAAGAAATGTCCTGAACCAAAAGAGGCTCTTCCATTTATAGTTTTCACATATTCAAAGATCAACATGACTTATGAGTATCTGAAACTAGTAACAGTGTATATAACAAAGCAGGAATCTGCCTCACAGAAGAAAATTGTCATCCTAACCATGGAACAAGGCATTATTTATTGATATTATCTTCCTCAACCTTCATAATCCTGCAACAGAGAGTTATACACTTAACTAAAACAAATCTAAAACCAAAGTGAAGTGGTTCTATTTTCAAAAATTTATCCCAATATTGAAATGTCAGATACTCAATAAGTGGTCAATTTTTAAATTTTGGCAAGACAATAACTACCACTCATCTAAGTTTAGAGCTTAAAATCTCAGCTTGTGTAATTCAAGAATCAGAATAATTAACAAAACATATGTGAAGCTATTAAGTAAATGAACAATCCCCTGCTCTACAGCTTTTACAGTACAAGCATCTCCTTCAACTCTATTATAAACACTTACTGCTGAAACTAACCATAGAATGGACATACCATTATTAAAGGATATTCACAATGCACAAAGGTTCCCACTTTGCAAAGTTCATTGGAAGGTCATTTACATGCACAACCTTTACCATACATTTATCTTCAAGTAGGTTGTTTTCATGACTCAAACCCGACAAAGAAGCAACCTTAGTGTTAGATACATATAAGACATTGGTCAGCCATAGACCCCCAGTTAATGGATCAAATACTCCATGAAAAATGAAAAATTCCTAATGTGTTGCCCAGTTTAATGTGAAAAATGGGGTTGCGCCCTCAGCAAAACTGGGATAAAGTTGAGCCGAAAGATACCATCCAAGATAAATTTACAAGGAAGTGGAAATTCTTTAGGATCCACTCCGGCTTTTAGAAATTGATTAATTGGTAAAGATACAAGCCATTAATGTCCCACCCAAGAAAGATATCCAAGTCCAAATTTTACCTGGTTTGATAAACGACCTACCTAAATGCATAATAGACCTATACACCATCAATGAGAATAGAATTTATTTGAACATCTTTCTCATTTCTTCCAATGCAAATAACCCAAGTATATACAACTGACAAGGACAATGGAGCGCTCAAGGAAAATCAAATTTGAAGATTTAAAAAAGAGACTTCAAAAAGAAAATTATACATATATATATAACATATTCGGGACATTTATACAATTTAAATGAAAAAAAAAAAAAAAAAAATATAACAATTTAAAATGAAAAAAAAAAAAAAAAAAAACGCACCGTTAAAAAAAAAAAAAAAAAAAAAAAAACGCACCCGTAAAAGCAATGAAATCAGGTTTCTCGGATTGAATCATCCTCTCAAGAAAGAGAGTGGTGTTGAGATCGGAGCAGAAATCAAACTGAGAAGGCAACACGTCTCTGCAGCGAGTCACCGACCCAGTCCCATAATGCATATCAGCCACCTGACTTCAAACGACATCATGTAAAAAATCAAACAACTTAATCATATTAAAAAACTAAATAAATTATTGAAGGAAGAAACCTGAAGGATTTTGAAGGTGCCATCCGAGCGGAAGCGGAGAGGGAGATCTGCGGATCTCTTGAGGTGAGGTTTGTGGTTGCCTACTATCAATTTGAGTGCGATTTTGATGTGGAAAGAGAAGAGAATTGAAAGGATTAATATCAAATAGAGGAATGAGGATAACCATTTTAGTGCTGGAGATTGCATTTGACACGAATTAACTTTTCCACTTTCCACTTTAGGTCATTAACTTTGCTGTTCGGACTTCGGAGACAAAGGTCTAACTCCTAGGCTTCCGTTGCGAAGTAAACTAAACACCATTTTAGGCTGTTAGCTTGGGCATTATGACAAAAATAAATGCTCGAGAGTCTTTTCCCTAACCTACGTCAATCATCAATATTTCATTTCACAACGTGCACAGTTATTGTTACTTTTTTTTTAAAATATAATTGATCGGTTTTTTTCATATAATATTTTAGACGTTTTTTATTTAATATTTTACTGTAAATAAAATCAATAAATATAAAAATAAAAATTAATGAAATGGAGTGCAAAAATAAAATTTTGTGGGTGAAAAAATAAAAATAATGATAATTCAAGTAAAAGAATACCTTTAAGATGATCTTAGAGTAAAATTATAAAAAGAAAAGCCTTTGACATTAAATAATAATATTTCTATGGCCAATAAAAATAAATTTTTTATGATGATTTTTTTTATAGGAATTAAATATATAAATTGGTAATCTATAAGAAATTGATAATTTAATAAGATTTCTAATTGAGTTATAACTAGGAGAAAACCCGTGCATCGTATGAATTGTTTTGTGGCGAGATATTGTACTTTATAATTTATAAATTATATTTATTTTATATTATTTTATAGTTTATAAAAGATAAATAAAATTATAATTTTAATAATAATAAAATAATTTAATTTTTAGATCTCTAATATAATTATTACTCTCTCCGTCCCATTTTATTTGTTTGTTATTCCTTATTTGAATGTTCCAAAATGTTTATAAGGTTTCTAAATTTAGATATATAAATAATTATTTTTTCCATAATAACCTTTATTTGTTCATTAAATGAAGAATTTTTATTAATATCTTAATAAGTACGGTAAAAAAAAGGAAAAATAACTTTTGTTGACTAAATTCTTAGTATGCGTATTTTGTCAAACTATGCAAACAAAATGAGACGGATGGAGTACATTTTATTTTAATTTCGACAATGATTATATTAAATGAAGAAGTAAAATTTATCTGTATATATAAAATAGAATTTTAGTATTATGAAAAATCTAAATTTAATTAGGCATTGCTTACCTTGACTATTTTTTTTAAATTACTTTTTGAGGATTATTCATATATTTTTTTAATAAGTAGATTCAAGTAGAGATATAGATAAGATAAAATTTCAAAAATTTAAAGCCATATTTATCTATTAAAAAATAAATTTTCACATTATACCATCCAATAAATATAGAAAAGTAAAGAAAATAATTCAAGAAAATATAATATTGAATATATAGAAAAGTAAAGAAAATAATTCAAGAAATATAATATTTGAAATATATATATATATATAATATATATATATATTATATATAATATACTATATAATAATATATATATATATATATATATAATATATAATATGCTATTATCATTATGGTTTATATAATATGCTATTATCATTATGTTTAAGATTAATGATTATCTAATAGATTTTAATATTTTATCAAAATAAACATTATCAACATTTTGAACAACAACTAAAAAAGTAATGCTAAATAGACTTTTAACAGATACCGTTAACTAATCTATGAATAATAAACTTGTTTGTGAATAAATAGACAGCTAGAAGTGTGGAATACATGAGTAGAGGAATGATTTTGTGTGATGGGAACCATTTCAGTCTATCGCCATAACCATACCAAATTGGACAATGCCGACTAAAAAAATCTCTACTAAACTCAAAGTCCAACAAAGCACTTGGTTCAAACAATCTGAAAGATTAATCGGATTAGACTCTTTAAAACTGAGACTTGGGCATGCAGTAAATTGACCGCCAACCACAGGCATGCATCTTGAATCCAGTAAGAATATCTCCTGTAATAGAAACCATATATTTATCTAATTTGTAGACCAAGAGATAAACATTAATACTGTTATAATGAACCACATAGCGAAGTAAAAAACTACAGCCTGATTTTAAAGATGTATGATCCTTTAAAAGCATAAAGTTTATACTAATTTGATACACTTTGACAAACACCTAGTACTTGTTTCAGTTCAAAGGTTTGTTTTTCCTAGGGATATGTTTATTGTCACGCCCGACTCCAATCATTAGAGGAATTGTTCACTTTGGATTAAGCCAATTCCATCCCATACTGGATTGGCAAGACCCACATGGTTTTGTTCCGCAGGTGAAATAGAAATTTTCCAAGAGGTCACCCATCCTAAGATTTCTTTTAAGCGAGCATACTTAATCCTGGAGTTCTTCCAACTCTCCAAGCCATTCCACCAAAAGGCGCCTCTGATGATTAGTTTTCCCCTTTTCTATTTATGACTCGATTCATTCTTGTGTCTCGGATTCCGCCACCCATAGCTAGTCTGTCATCCTAGAAACTAACCAGGAGTTTTGCTCTACCTACCCTCTTAAGATCACTTTGTCAGGTCGTGATGTCACAGGCCCACCAGCTTTCGCGTGGTTCGTTCTCAAACCATACATCTACTGGAGGGGTCCGGCTCTGATACCAATTGTCACGCCTAACTCCAATCACCTGAGGAATTGTCCGCTTTGGATCAAGTCAATTTCATCCTATACTGGATTTGTAAGACCCACACGATTTTGTCCCACAGGTGAAATCGAGAACTTCCTAGGAAGTCATCCATCCTAGAATTTCCTTTAAGCTAGTATGCTTAAACTTGGAGTTCTTCCAACTCTCCAAGTCATTCCACCAAAAGGCGTCTCTGATAATTAGTTTCCCTCTTTTCGATATATGATTCGATTCATTCAGTTTCCCTCTTTTCGATATATGATCGATTCATTCATGTGTCTCGCATTCCACTACCAATAGCTAGTTTGCCATTCTAGAAACTAAGCCAAGAGCTTTGGCTCTACCATCCTCTTTAGGAATCGCTTGTGTCCGGGTCGAGATGTCATTATCTACCAACCCTCAAATATAAAGTTAAGAAGGCTTAAGTAATCAAGAAATTAATCTCCTAATAAAATTCAAACAATCTTATCCTCTCATATTTTTTCTTAGATACTAGGATGCGTCCTGAAAAAAATAATTCCATCAATAATGTACGTGGGAGTGGGAAATTAAAAAAGGAAAAAAGAAAAGAGTATCCTAACAAAGTTAAAGATATAATAATAAAAAAATCACCAATAACTCACTTCCCCATCTATTTTTTTATCCTCATCACCACAGTTGATAACATGAAGGCCTCCTTAAGAAGAGTCTTTCGGTGTTGCAAACTGGGAACAGACATCAATTCTCCATAAAGTGTGGAAGCAACACAAATAGCAATACTTGTCCAAAACCTTTTTATAGGCTCCATTTGTGACATTAGTAGCGGAACTTTCATCATCAAATCTAAGCAATCTAAATTTACAAAATTCACAAGGAAATGTTGGAATTAATCCCTAAGAAAACCGCAACCTTTCATCAGTGAATTAAATCATACTAACCCAGATATGATTGTTACTTAAAAAAAAGGGCAATTGGTTTCCCCCTCCTTCAACACCTATACTTTCCCTTAAAAAAAAAAAATACATTAGTGGGTATGATTTTGCTTTCTCTTTGTGCTGTCAAACTTTTGGTTCATCTCGTTGTGGCAACGGTCCGTTCAAAGTGGCCTGCCAGCTTATATTTGGAAAAATTCCCTTACCTTCTCATCACCACAATCTCTTCTATGACAAGAATTTGATAACACCAACTGCATAAGATCAAATAATGATCATAAGTTCATTATCCATTACCACATCATTATATAGAACTGACTTTGTATTCATCCAATCAATATCATAAAAAAAAAAAATTAACAACAAAAAACCACATAACATTCTAACTAAAGATTTTTTTGCAGCTCCTATTTACAAAAGTAGATGCAAGCAATGTACAGGATTTTGTTAGGATACGGCTTTTGAACTACCTCTTTGTTTGTTTTGAGATTGCCCCATAATGGAGAGGCAATAACTAAAAATCTGTAATCAATTATATGTATGGATATAAAGATAAGAGTTAATATTTCAAAATTGAATAAGAATTAAATACTTTTCTTCCATTACTAAATTATTAAATTAGATTATAAACAAAAAAAAAGAATAATAAACAACCACTTAAATAGAAAATTTTAAAAAAAAGAAAAAAAAAAGGAAAAAGCTGAAAGGAAGAGAGTTGCGAAGTCTAACATTGGAAAGATTATTGTTTTGCTTCAGGATTTATATAGAGTAGAATAGATATATGATAGATGTAGATTATGGACCTCCTTCAATAATTCATTTAAAATATTCCTTATTAATCTTTTATTTCTACTTATTGAAAGTCAACAAATTTCATTTTAAATAATAAATTACCAATTTTTTCTAATTCCTTTTAATTTGATTGTATTTATTATTTATTTTTGTTAAGGAATTTTCTATTCTATAGAAGTTAAGTACAAGGTTAGTTGTGATATCAATCATTATTTATTATTTTAATTATTTTATTTATAATTTTACTTTGAACGGTTTTTAGATTTTTTAAGTAGAGCTTAAATTAATATATAATACTTAACTCTTTATGCAATAACATAATTACTAATTAATATTAACAAGCTGAAAAATGTTAAAATTTGAATAACAAAACATTAAATTCCTAATTTAGCTAAATATTGGATTAATAATAAGTAAATTTAGTTAACTTTTTGTTTACATATAAGTAAGAAACTATATAACAATCCCGTTAAAGATATAAAATAATACTTTCTTATTTTATTTTATTTGCCACTCAAATAGGATAATTATTATATTAACTTGGAACCATGTTGTTTTAATTCATCCACGATGCACTTCTTATTCGTGACTTTTATATACTTAAACGACTTTATTTCAAAAAATTTTCATTGAATTTCAATTTATTAATTCTAAATCAAGCCGCTTATAGACATAATTAAGTCGAAAATAATTAATTAAATACCGCTACCCTGTGAAAGTTTATTTAAACCAGAAATTTAGGTAAATCATATTTAATTATTTGTTAAATCAAAACCCTTAAATTAAATTAAACCTATAAACAGACGCCATACCAAAATTGAACTCAATAATCAATTTAGAAAACCAAGTAAACCTCAATGAATTGGCCAAAACCACACCTGA